GCAAATGAGGACCTGACAGAGACTGAAGCAGCTATGACAGATGTGGTTGTGCAGGCTTCCCTGACAAATACTCCTTTTGCTGTCTCTAGTGGAGCTGGCTCTTCTGAGGTGACTTCGGGTACTAATATCCAAATCCAGACTGCAGCATCGGGCACTGAAGCCCAGACAGATGGAGAGACTGCGTAGACAGGATCCCCTCTTTACCTCCCTCTCTGTCTTTCTTTATTTTAAATTTTGGATAATCTTGTTTGCATTTGAGGACAAATCATTTTATTTGTGGTGGGGTGAGGTCCACCTTTGTGTGCTATTCGTGACTGATGTTTTGATTTTATATTTGGGTCATTATGCTTAGTATTGTGTTTTACACAACTTTTTTGTGGATGTTTAAGCTTGTGGATCCTTTTTCTTTAATTATAAATGATTTTTGAACCCTTCCAAAAAATTTGCCCACTCTTGTATGTACTTGAATGTGGCTGTTCTTTAGAAAAATTGAGTCTCGGTTTTGATCAATATCGATTACTCAAATAGTGCTCATAATCGAACGAACTTGAATGCGCAGTTACGATGAGACCAAGTGAAATTACATAGACAATATGTGAACTCTTTGCATCTCGTTGTGACTAGCCAAGTATCAAATTGAGTCTCTTGTGATGAACATTGCACACTAGCGAAAGTGTGGAGTCTTGTTTGACTTTGGTGTCGATGCCTTGTGTGATGAGTTTACCGTGAACCATGCATGTTAACACCTAGAATTTACCCCGTTTGTCTGGTCGACTAAGTAAGGCTATATCTTGATATGATCTTAGGCAACTTCGAAGAGTGTGATCCTATTTGACATATACCACTTTTGTGGCCTACCTTGTGAGTGTGTGTGAACCTCTGTTGAACACCCCTTGATCCTTACTTATAATCCTCTTGATTTGTGGTTGATTGAATAGCCAACTTAGGCCAAAAGCCTAAGTTGGGGGTGTGGTGAAAAGAAAAGGGCAAGTCAAGAAGTGCAAGAAAAGTCTCCTTTAACCCATGGTGTTGAGAAAATGGAACCCCTCCATACAAAAAAAAGAGAAGAAAAGAATGAAAACGAAAGAGTCGTGGAATAAAGTTTAGAAAATGCAAAAAGGAATGGGGTTCGGAACAATCCATGGAAAGTGAATAATGGGATGACTTATGAGCACTAAAGAAAATGATGAAAGAAGAGGAAAGGGAGTGTTATGAGCACCACATTTCATGAGGATGAAAGTCACTGAACCTAAATGACCATACTTTTGCACTCAACCCCATTACAAGCCTTGAAAAGACTTTTTTGATCTTGAGTGAGATGAAGCAATTGTCAATTGGAAAATAAGGGCGAACCTATGGGTGAAAACATGCATAGTGTTATTCTTTGTGAGTGTGAGCGTTGTATCTGACCATACCTTTACACTCAGTCCTGTTACAAGCCTTGTTAAGACCTTTGCGATCTTGAGAAAGTCGAAACAAATGTTGATTGGAAAATACGGGCAAATCTATGGGTGAAAGCATGCATTGTGTTCATCTTTGTGAGTGTGAGCGTTGTATCTGATCTTGAACTTTAAATTGGTTATATTCCTACTTATGGGACTACTACATGTTACCGATGAAGTCCTTGAGTTTAGTTGTTCATGCCCATAATTCCGCATGAACCCTATGAGTTGAGCACTCTTGAGTTGAGTTGTTCATGCCCATAATTCCACATGAACCGTATGAGTTGAACATTCTCGAGATGAGTAGTATCCTTGAGTCCTTGAGTTCTAGAGTTGTTGGGTTCCGAGTATTGAGTTTACATATGGTTATTGAAACCCTTTAGTTGAGTCACTCATGACCATAATTCGACATGACCTCTATTTTGAAAAGTCTTTTACAATTATTCATAATTTATTTTAAGACTTGAGCATTTGAGTTTGAGGAAGAGTAGAGTTGAGTTCATTTTCTTTAAAATGATATATGGGAAGTAAGTATTCCCAAGATTAAATGTTTTTACATTTAAGATGAGAGGAAACACCAATTTTCAAAGGATTTCATCAGCAGTTTTGAGTACCATCTCTTTTAAGAGAAATATTTTTGAGTAATAATCTGAGAGTTGAGGAAGAGGAAATATTTTCTTTAAAACATATGAGCTAAGTTATATTTTGGGGAGTAGTATTGAGCACAGATATGGGGAGAGTTCTAATAACTCACAGCCCCCATAAACCATGAAGTCAACGTGTGTAGAAAGGGTCATACTTTTTAGATGATTCCTTATTGCTTTTTAGCATAGACTAGTGGATCCACTTAGTGAGTAGGTTCTAAGTATATGACAGTTCTGGCAGCGTGGGCTAGACGTTGTATCATCACATAGCTCATAGTGATAGTTGTCGATTAGAGAATCTCCCACAAAGTTATAATTTGTATTTTTATATACAAACTGAGTTATTATTGTATTCTTCAATACATTGAGTTGCTATCTGTTTTTTTAACGCTTTCCATATATTGCATCTTTTATTGTTGCTTTATCTTGATATGAATATCTAGAGTTGAGTATCTTATTGTTGAGTTGAGCCCAATTTCTCTAAGTTGAGTTGAACTATTTTTCGCAGAGTTGAGTATCTTATTGCTGAGTTGAGCCCTATTTCTCTGTGTTGAGTTGAACTATGTTTCATAAACTTGAGTATCTTATTGTTGAGTTGAGCCTTATTTATCTGAGTTGAGTTGAACTATGTTTCATAAACTTGAGTATCTTATTGTTGAGTTGATCCCTATTTATCTGAGTTGAGTTGAACTATGTTTCACAGAGTTGAATATCTTATTGTTGAGTTGAGCCCTATTTCTTTGAGTTGAGTTGAACTATGTTTCACAAAGTCGATTATTTTATTATTGAGTTGAGCCCTATTTCTTTGAGTTTAGTTGAACTATGTTTCACAGAGTTGAGTATCTTATTGTAGAGTTGAGTGGATTTGCTACATAGCATCCACATTTCATTATTTACTACATATTATAAATTTTGTTAGTAAAGAAAATTTAAATTATGAAACCGAGCGTGATCAAGCAATTTAGAATAAAATAAGAAAAAGTTAATGAAGAAAAATTGAATTTCAATTTAAATTCTTAAAATAAGTGTGATCGGCTAATTTAGGACAGTATAAGTATATGAATAATTTTATTTTTACTGATCTTTGACTATAATATTTAATAATCAAAGGGTAAGTTCTCATATGTGTCATGCATTTGCTGATTTGTTGTGAGTACATGATAGACATACTTTATTTTATAAAAATATTGTTACATTTTTAGAACCTTAAGCCTCTGTTTTAAATTTCATTTGTTTATTTATGAGTAATAATTAATAACCTATTAATAATATCATTTCAAAAATCAATTGTAGGTGTCTCTGTTGTTGAAATCTCAAATTATATTTGATCATGTAAATACTTTTCAATTTTCATACTACTAATAAATAAAGTGTGAACAAGCAATTTTGGATAAAATGGGCATATATGAAACAAATATATATTTACTAAATCTTAAAACAATTAGTGAAGAAAATTTAAATTGTCAAAATAAATCTAATTACTAATTTTTTACCATAAAACTTAATTAATCAATGCTTTTTATCATTTATTTCATTCTAGCGGCCCAGTCAATAACTACTAATTATGACATTTCATTTAAGATTCTTAAACAAAACTCTCATGACATAACACAGTCAAATTAGCTAGACATAACATATTATTTTCTGTAATTTGCATTGTATAGGATCACTCATCACACTAATATATAAACTCCTAAGCTTTCTCTTCCTCTCACTTATCAAATTTCAGTGTTTGAGAATGTAGCAAAACACTGAACTACAAACCCTCTCTAATTGATTTGGTCGAAATTCATCCAGGAGATTTCATCGGTCAGCTACGATTGAGGTCAACTACGCGACCAAGAACTCCATCACTTTGCTTAGTTCATTAAATACGCAGGGATTTCTCACATAGAATTTACCTTTGATAATCTCTTCTTTCTACTAAATGCATCATATGAACTTTCTCGTTTAAGAGTTTTAAATATCAAAAAAGGATGCAATTTTTTTCGTTTATTTACTCATTTTAGACAAGTAATCTTAGTGATGATTAAGAACCTAGCATATCTACTTGTGAGAATTATTTATTTATTTGTTTATTTTTATTTAATCTTCAATATTTTTGTTGCTATGTTTAACGTTATTTTCTATAATTTAGTTTTCAGGTTGAAAGTGAGATTCTCTTTTTTTTATATTTTATCAGGTTCCCACAATCTGTTCTAATTCTTTTATCTTCATTTTTGCTTTGATTTTTGAAGTGACAGATTCTAGCATTCATATAACACTATAGTTACTATTCGGTGTTGGAGCACTACATCTGAAATACTTGAAAATGGTAAAGTTTTATTTGAATTGTTTCAACATTTAATTTTTTTTTCCACCAATAATTTTTTTGAATGTTGTAAGGCTATTGTAAAATTGACAACAAATCTTTCTTGCTTTGATTGACGTTTCTTTTTTCTATCTCTAGTGTATGCTTTAATTTGATTTGTGTGCTTTTTTTTTTTTTTTTAAATCTCTAACGTGTGCTTTGATCTGTGTTCCTTTTTCATCTACCTTGTGGTATAAGATTAATGTTTTATGTTGAGAAATTGTTATTGTTGAAGTCATATACAATAAATTGAGAGCTATTTGTTCGAACCAAAAGTTTTTTTACTGGTATTCTGTTCTGCATAATGATTCTTGACATGGATATACTTTGGCTCCTCCTTAACTTGTACAGGGTACCTTAATCAAAGGAGAATCTAGAAATTCTAGAATGTGCACTACTTAAAACAGAAAATAGTTATTAAATACTAAGTTTAGTGTGCTAAAAATTAATTGGTTCAATTATTAAACAAGATAGCTTCATCCTTTGTATCTAGTCATGCTAGATAGGTCATGGCCCGTGCAAAGCACGGGCCCAATACAATTAGTGTAGGTTATTCACTTAAAATAGAAAAACTTACCTGAAAATTATCTTTTAAGACTTTGATGAATAGAGATACATTTGTGGTTTCACATCATTATTCCACCAGTAAGGCTCACAAATACGTTAATATAAACAACAATTGAACAAATATAATAATATTTGGTGTATGTATAAATTTTTTGATGTGAACTCTTGAACATGTGGTCTTTGCACTTTCATTGATATACTAAAAGCAGCAGCCCATTAAACCAGCAAAACTTGTGTGGGGGATGGAGAGCATGGCGTTGATAGGAGTTCCTAATCTTCTTTCAACTTCAAGCAAAGAGGAATTTCTTCAGATATAGCACGCCTACAACTCGATGTTCAACATATAAAGACCTGCCATGAAACAATATAAATACTTAGAACAAATCATATGATATTTCATAAAACAAAAAAAAGTCACATTATTGATGAGAAGGAAATAAATAGCAGTAGTCTGCTAGCAGAAATATACCATTAACTTTAGCTTGATTATCATAAATGTTGTAGAAAGATAAAACAGTGAACTTCAGTCTCCACACTAACACAAACTCGATTTACAAAATTTGAAAAAAATGATATTTTCAAAAAAAGAAAAAAAAAAAGAAGTTCAAACTTAAAACATGAAAATGTGTAAATGACTAAATGTTAAGAAAATGCTATCTACAACACACTCCACAACTTCAACCAATCCAAAATTTATCATCCATGTGTTTGTTTGCTAGTTCTTTTCTCTTATCCTTCATTTTTTTGTTTCTTTTTTGGAAAATTGTAAGATATATTATCTAAAGGAACTTCATTTTACCAATTTCTACAGTTATAAGAAGCCACCCATTGTTTTTCGATATGTATTCTGCAATATTAGAGTAAATTTTCATACTCAGGAGTCGCGCCGGTCGTTATGACTTTCAATCCAAAGGCCAACAAAAGAGTAGTACACTTTCATCGGTGAAAACTTTCAAAAGTCACAAACTAAATAATTAAGAGTATAGCAAAACATCACTTGTGCAGAAGCTGGATTAAAAAAAATAGTACCTGAAAATAATAGCAGTGTCATTCCTAAATTTCTCTAGCGTCTTTCCATAATCTTAAGAAAGGAAGCATTTCAAAGATCCTAAGACAATTTCTCATAGCTTTTTGTCTCTGCTGTCGCGACAATCTGCCAAAGAAAAAAACATAACCCAAAATAAAAAGTCATGTTCTTTTCTTCAATATCATCAAACAATCCAGATGCAAAGGCAAGTACCGAAAAATTCATCGTACCAAAAACCATTCCGATTGAAGCAGAGGAAACTATTCATTCATTAACTTTGTTAGCGGAAGCGTGAAATTAAAGAACAAGGAAGAACAACAATATTTAACGTGATTTGGATAAAAAATGATCTTACGTCCACCAAAGAACAACTGCACTAATATTTATTCACTCTACAAAGAATACAAGTGAAATACTACAAGAGAGAACAACAAATGCCTTAGAAGGTGAAAAAGCAAGTGAGAGGATGATTTGAAAATGAATTAAGAGCTACTTATTTATAGGAATGAATTCTTCTTATTAATGTCATCCATGACATCACTATGTGTCAAAAAATGTCAAGGTTAAACATGTGAAACCATTTTATGGTTTACCTAAATTTCACCTACCAAGATACTATCTTGACTTTTATTTTGGACTAATTATCTTGCTACCAAATCCTCATATTAATTCATCTTCCATTGAGTTTGATTCCACAAGAACCAAACCAACTCTTTCAAACTTAAGTTCAGCTTTCAATGGTTTCATTGTCGTTCTCCGAAAGAAAATTTGCTGACATGATTCAATCTGGTGGTTGAAAGTGAAGAACCTATAAAGAATTAAATAAAGAAAATAAAATAAAAATTAAATTCATATGCCAAAATTTCTCCAATAATCATAATCAGGATAAAAACTGAAACTTTGAACTTAAAGACCATAAGATACATTTTAGTTAAAGAAGGACGAAATGAAATTAAAGCAATGTCCTACAATTCTGAAATTTTCCATCACTCTTGAAATTTTAATTTGGGAAAGATAATTGAGCAACACTCAATTATTCAAGTGTAAAAACATTCAACATTATTATAGATAACTGATGATTTAATTCAACTCCCAGTAGATTTCACACACAAAGAACTGAAATAATCTTTGCAACTCCTTCAAACAGGACTTCTTAGATTCAGTTCAACTGGAATGATCGTTGCAATTCTAAAATAAATTTCATATCAGCCTCAACAATCAAAGATGACTTCAGTTCTTAAATCAGAAAATAACTCAAAATTTGATCAACGTTTCAAAAATCCAACTACTGAAAAATAGCTCAAAGGAAGTTCCAACTATCTTCAATGCAGAATCTTTCTAAAGTTCACCACAAGCTCCCAATTAAGTGTGAAGCTTAATAAAAGGAACAAAAAAATCAATTGTCTATGCAAAAGAACTTGCCTTACACCAAAGTTTACTTCTAGGATTCTACATACATAAGTTCCATGAGGATGTCCTCAAATATTTAATATCAGCTGAAACTTTAAGGTCAACTTTTAAAACATTATTATCAGAACTAGTTTGTACACTTGCTTGTGAGAATTCATATACATCAGATTCCTATTAAAAGTACAATAATTAAACATATCATTTTTTAGAAGGCTATATCATAATGCATTATGTATCTTTTTTTGTTTGTCTTGCAAGTCGATCAAAATAGGCAAATATATAAAATATTTTTATTGGATTCTGAAGTCATTTTCTGGTGCATCAATGATTACTGTTACCATTTTAGTCTAAGAGGTGAATGCCTGATGGGAAAGAAGAAGAGAATGGAAAATCATATATCCTGCTACTTCAATATCCAATTAAAAGCTATATGAGAGGTTAAAAAAATCACTTTCTAAATAATGAGAGAGCTAAATAATTAGCTATAATGCTTTCTAATTTAAGAAAACAACCATATAATTATTGATTCACTCTGTTCAAAGAATATACAGGGAACAAGTAAAAAATTCCGTACAATTTTCAGAAAACATATTTATTAATGTAGAGTATTCAAACAAACATATTTCTGAATGTACAAAATTAAAATAAAATTACACAGTATAAGCATAATATACTATTGAAAGAAACTTCCTAAAGAAGATGATTTTACCAATAATAAAGATTCTTCTGTGAAATTGCACAAAAATAAATTCAACTTACTTAATGAAATCAGAAATGAAACATAATTAAAGAATTTAAGGAGGTTATCAATAATTAACTCTTTCCAACTTGAAAATTCACACCTCTTCATAGGTTTCAATCCTCCATTTTTTGGTTATAATCCATGTTTTATCAACACATTCAATTGTCACTACACTGTTCAGTGTAACCAATCTTTATGGCAGTGGGTGATACTACATGATTCGAAGAGCGTTCAAATCAAGTTCGCCTAACACAAAAATGCCACCGTCTTACCAATTTAACAAGCCTAACAAGTCTATAGGGAGGTCATTTAAATACTAACATTTCATAATGCAAAAGAAAAATTCTTCAACAATCTAGCAAAGATGAACTTTCAGACCCATAAAGATGTAAATATCTACCAGAAATTATTGAACCCATGAGGTTAAAGAAAAATTCATTTGAGATAAGTTATAGAAAGAGACAGATCGCTTTACCTTTAAAGTGGCAAAAAACTTTCATAACCAGCATAACAATCCACCTAGCTATTATTAATTGATCACCATCAGTTCAAAATTCTTTTGTATCCTGCATCAAGTTGTTCCTATCAGTAAGCACACAACATGATAGATTATCATCTCAAATATTAAACTTGTCAGGACATAATATATAGGACCGTAAGTTAGCACCAAATATGATGAGTCATTATTGCTTTTATTAGCCTTCTGAATCAAAGTTTCAAGCTGATCAATACTTGATATTAAAGTAAGGAACCTCTTGGAAAGTAGGCAGAGGATCTCCTCTAGGGGTTATCAGGACGACATAAACATGCTTGCTAAGACTCAAATAGATTTAGAGTTAACTGAGATGAGGAGTATGACACCTCAAGAGGCAGCAATAGCTATTGCAGAAGCAGAAGCTGCACAAGCCTTTGCAGAAGTTTAAATGAAGGCACTACAAGGGAGAAGCACTCCGAAGATGGTAACATATTTTTACAACATCATACCAGTCCCTTTTTCCTTTCTTTCGTTTCCTCATAATTGAGATAATTTCTCCTTTATCTTCCTACATTTTTAGGCAATGTTTAGGACTCAAGACCCCTCAATGAACTTATGTTACCTTTTCGTATTTGTGGTATCCCTTAAGCTTAGCTTAGATGATATTTCTCTAAGTTTTGATGGATGTTGTTACTGAATTCTCTCTATTAAAACATTTAGTTTGATCCATTTATGGTATATGTCATTAATTAAAGAGCTGGAATGACTTAGTCACATATCAGTTGATGGTTCAAAGTTCTCCCATTTCATAAACAAACTCACAAGCATCTTTATTTGTATGTTTATGTCATTCCTCTTCAATGCTTGTTCTTGTGACAGAAAATTTGATATCATGAGGTCTTTTTGGTTGATTACGAAGTAAGTATTACCTATTTAGTGGCAAGTCTTTTACATCGTTAGTTTGCAGTAGCTTGAGTTGGGTATTTCGAATGATCAGAAAATTATTGCTGATCAGCCAACTGCTCATCATCCAACTTCACAGGTGTTTTGCTGCTCATATTTGCAATAAATGAAATACTCAATATGCATTGCACAATTCTCATCAGAATTACAAGAAATAATATATGGATTCGCAGTATTGAGATTGAAAAAAGATATGTGAGTCCCTAAATGAATTAGAGATAACGATCAGTAGGAAAATAGTACAATACACCTCCATGTTTAGCATGATATCTTCAAGTATAAGGCACCATAGTCCCTAAACAACTTGTGCATTTAATGATTGATAAGCAAAGTTAACAATTAACTCTAGCATACCTAAATATAAATGTGAAGCTAATGAGAAACACATTGAGGATAATACCAACGGCCAAAAATAATTTATCAATGCACCCATTATTTGTGTTAGGCAGTGCAAATTTTCAAAAATAGAGATATGTACACTTTAAGTTAAATAGCTAATCCAACATATTATCAGTTTCCGCTAGCTTCTTGTTTATTTAATCTCCCTTATACTTCAATAGAATTAAATATTAGCTCGTGTAATTTAGGCCTCATGAAATAGAAAATATAAGTGAACCAAAGAAGTTTTAAAGTCCCTTAAAAGCTGAATAGAATACTAATTGTTACAACAAATGCTCTGTAAAAGAATTATCTGCACCACACATAATTTGATCATGGATAGAGTCGGATATGAGAAAGTATAATGCTCTGCTAAGGAAAAAATAAAACAATTTCTTACAATCAAATTAGAGAAGATAAAGTATAGTTAAGGAGTGATATTTGTTTTTCAATATTGAGATCGTATACCAGGAAATTATGAACTTACTCATAAGAAATGTATAAATTGGGTAGATTTTTTTTAATTGAAGTTCTTATGCTCCATTTTCTCACCTGAGAAATTAATAAATTGAAAAAACACTCACATGAACAACACAACGAAATGAACACTAAATTTCAATAATCAATTATTTTTAAAAAAATCATAAATTAAAAATAAGGTGAGGAGAAGGAGCAAAAGAGGAGAAAGAACATCTGATTAACTATAAATACAGTGCATGCAACATTACTGCAAACAAACTGAATGAAAAATTAAATAAATAAAAAAAATTAACAAAATAAGACCTAAAATAAAACAAATCAGAGATGCAGATGCCCGTTAGATATCACTGAGATTTTCTGGGCAGTGAAAAAAACCTAACCATCAACGATTGAAAGAAGAAGGTAGAATAAAGCTAGTTAAGAAACAAAAAAAATGAAAGAAAATAAAAGATGAAAAAAAGGGAATGGAAGAGGCAGTGGGTATAGAGATGACTAAAGTCTCACCGAGCATGCAAGGCCTTCCTAGAAGATGAACAATTACTGAGCAACATTTTCTCAAAAGTTGGGATACAGAAGATGAATAGAAATCAATATGTGTGGTCGGCTCAAAAAAGAACACGTATTAACAAATGGGCCCAATATAATGTACAATTCACTGAACTATTGGTACAATAACTGATAGCAGTGTTCGTCTAGCCCAACTGTCACTTATTAATAAGGGTAATATGCTTATTGATTTCTCCTTGTCCTCTTCATCAACAGTGTAACACCCCGACTTTTCAAAACGTCTAAATTAACTCGTATCTTCGTGGAAAGACAAAGAGGGTGAGTAATAAATTAAAAATGATGTGTTATGTGATATTTTAAGTGTTCAAGTGTTGTATCTCAAGTTTTGAAGTTAGGTAAGTGGCAAAATAAAAGTTGGCGAAAGTTACCGTAAATTCCTTTTTAAAGATTTGTCTGAAATTTGGGTCAAATGTCTCGGACGTTTTATACCAATCTATTAAGATTTATGGTCCCCGCGA